CCACACTGTACCCCAGAAGTGCATTAATGTACATAGTTACCGTTCAATAAAAAAAAGAAAAAAATAAAAATTAAAATTAAAAAAAAAAAATAAATGGATGGTTAGGAACATAAAAAAAAAAAAAAAAAGAAGAGCATATCTGATGGTGTGTATTTTTGGAAGAAGAGAGTATCTGACAGTGTGTATGTTAGGAAGAAGGGCATATCTGATGGTCTGTATGTTTGGAAGAAGAGTATATCTGATTGTGTGTATATTTGGGTTCGGGCATATCTATTGGTGTGTATGTTTGGAAGAAGGGCATATCTGATGGTGTGTATGTTAGGAAGAAGGGCATATATGATGGTGTGTATGTTTGGAAGAAGGGCATATCTGCTCCATGTCACCTTCACTCAGACCTGGCCCCTAATCTGGAGGCTTCACTAGTTGCAAGAGCAGAGAAAGGGTGGAAAGGGTGGAAATGGAGAATTATACTTGGGTCTCAGATCCTCTGTTCATACACACCTCATGTCTGTTCAGTCTTAATTGGTCAAAATAAGTCACATGGCTACTTTTAACTCCAAGGGGCAGGAACGTGCAATCCTACTTTGTGCCCTTAAGGATAAAAACTGGCAATACTCGTGACAGCACTCATGTGTAACATAGCCACACACCCAAGAGGCAGCGCAACCAAGATTTGGCAAGGTTTATCACAAGTCATTGGGTGAGACCCTCATTTCCTCAACTATGAGGCTTAGAACATTATAGTTTATACCTTGAGATGGTAATTATTAATCTGTCATGCCTCTAGATTGGCAGAATAACCCACCGAAACCTTACAGCGATCATTCATGCTGCTGTATTTCCCCAGCTGGTGGTCAATCAATATTTTTCTCTAGGACACTATAAGGATGTTCTTGGGCTGTGTGTACCATGCTCAAATAATTTGGGAGAAAGATGCCTTTCAGTTCAACAGGTTACATACTGTGGGGTTTATTTAATATGCCGAGGTGCACCTTCAGTTTTGTAGAGGAAATGCAGGGCAGAATTTCAAAACCATTTACATACAGAAAGCCTCTTGGAGAAGCACTGAAGAACATCTCCATAAAATAGAGTCTGAAGAATTCCAGATGGGAAAAATGACAAAATTCTGTTCCTGAAATAAATTATTTTAAATAAATAAATTCACTGAAAGGAAAGAAAAGTGAGACAGTGTTTTTCTCAATCAGTTATGTGGAATGGAGACATCACTTGGACTTCTCACTTTAGTTCCTGTTTCTCTTGTTTTCATGTGTGTGAAATGAATATTTAAAGAAGAGTATATAAACCTGAAGGTGTTGCAATGTAAGGTTTCTTCACTTTCCAGGAACAATTCTTGTCATTCTTTATTATCTCCTTTTCCAAGCAGCACAGAGATACAAGTCCTTTGATTAATTCTTTATTTATTATTGAATAACACCAATATTTGAGTAATCTTTGAGCTAATCTATGACGTAAACGTTTTACAAATGAAATTGACACATGAATTATAGAGGAACTTGGATTTGGCCCCCATTCTGTGATCCCTGGTCTACTCTTGTTTCTACTACTTAACACTTTTGATTCAAGAAAACTGAGAAGGTCATATGTAAAACAAGCAATAATAAAACTAGCTGGCTGTTCAAATGATAGAATGAAAAATTATGTCTCATTTGAAGTCAATACAGAAGGTTTAAACTTGGGGAATGAGAATCAATTAGTCCATTTTTCAATCTACCCAAAGGCAAAAATAAAAGAAAACACTCATCCAATACTTTTTAGACTATTGTGTTCCCTGAATTGACTTAACCAATTAAATTGATAGGTTTTGTCTTACTCTAAATATAAAAACCTGCTATGGATGGATGTAAGGCAACCATAAAGGCTGAGTTATGATTCAATTATACCCTCTGGCTCACAAAAGAAATTTAGTTTCAACTACAGCTTAACTTAGGGGGAAAATGTAATCAGAATTATTCTAAACCATACAGAACATGAGAGTTCCTATAGGTCTTTAAAACTATTACAGTCCTCGTGAGAAATCCATCACATTTTTTTTGGAGCAGAGGATGATTAGTGAATATCTTCTTCTGCTTTCAGATGAAAGAAACAAGTGAGCATAAGGACGTATTCATGGGAGTCAGTAGCATTGCTGTGATGGTATAAACAACACAATAGAGGTCAACATCCTTGCCCACCCTTGTGGTCCTTGAACAGTGATGAGTTATGCAACCCCCCATGCTATCACTGGGGTTGAAAGAAGACCATATTTTATTTTTATTATCATGATCTTATTATCTAAGATACCAAAAATATTTTTCACTATTTTTTTTCAAATTGGCAGTGTGTTCCCAAACTAGCCCTTGCTGTATTAGGTCTCTTCCATATGCTGATTAAGTCTATATATTTGTATATAGCCTCAATGATTTGAGGCCAGATTATCCAGAATGGCTTACAAGTTGAGAAGCTGGTTTGTTTTGAAGAGCCAATGAGTTTTCACATTAATGACTATCTTCTTCAGAAAGACTGAGACCAATGTATCTCCTTCCTGAGTCCTGCACATTTTTTAATCATTATTTTAACAACTGATACTTAGCAACTGATAGCATTGTATTTTTACAGCATTGTACTTTTACAACTTTGCCTTGATGCTCACAACCGATGTGAAAGATACATCAGTTAGGTATGATTCCCTAGATGGAGAAACTGTCTATTTACTCTGTGCCTGACACAGAACTCAGCACTACATATGTAGTTATTTTATTTACTCCAAGGTCAAACTTCCAGTGATTGTTTGACCTGGGATTTGGATCCAGGGTTTCTGACTCCATATACCATGATCTTTCTGTTATAGCCCACCCAGGTTTATTCCCTACTGCTCAGAAGGAAGCCAATACACTGAGATGGCAGGGCTTACAGCAGAGGAAAACTTGAATATCACAGGTACCATGTAAAGTGATGGAAGGCATTTCTCAAATCCATCTGCCCAAGAATTTGGGAGAAAGGGTTTTTAAAGATAGTTTGTTGGGCAAAGGGCTAGAGAATTGGGTCTGCTGATTGGTGGGGGATGAGCTCATATGTTTGGGAAGCAGAGGTTATCTTCTCAGCTGGGACATTTCCTGGGTAGAGGGTCTAAAGGCTGTTGGATTCATTCTTACTTTTATCCACAGATCCTGTTGGCTTCAATGGGCCACCCCCTCCCCCCACCATGCAGTGTCTGAAAAATACTTCAAAGACCAGTCTTAGGTTTTATAATGGTAATGTTACCTCGAGAAGGACAGACCTTGGGCTTCAGGGCAGGGATATTATCTATGGAAACACAGATCTTTGGGCTTTACAATGGCAATATTATCTATAGAGGTAGTGGGGCAGTCACAAATTTTGTGCCTATTTGGCAAGATAGTGCCAAAAGTACTCAGTTACAGCAGTAAAGAAGTTAGGGAACAACGGCCAGCTAACTTCTGCTAAATTTATACTTTTAAAAAATCAGACTGCAATTACTATTTACACCTTCTGGGTCTACTACATAAGGTTTCATTTCCACACTTTCAAGTGGCAGTATAGATAAAGTTGATGGAGGTGATGATGGGACATCCAGCACATAAAGTGGTGAAGAGTATGCAGGTTGCTATTGATAGAGCTGGCTTCATCCTTTGACATTTAGTTTATTACACATCAGCATATAGATTTACCACGTGTACATTTTGTAATGGTCAACATATAAAAGCTATAGGCATACAAATCTATATACTTAGGTATAGTCAACTAAATCTAAAAGCTATTCACCGTCCCCATAACATAGTGATGCTTCATTCTATAGGGCAATCATCTCTGTAATAGCATTGACATATACTGAAAAAAACATGACTTTTAAGAGATTAATGTCCTTTCCAGTATGAAAATCATATGTTATTCAACTCTTCAGTTTTTACCACACTGATGCGGTGTCATCAAAAATGCCTAGTCTAAAAATTTTGTTTCTTGTGTTGTTCAGGCCGTTTCCGACAGCTGGAAATCCTGGACCATGTGACCAGTGCCTTCTCGTCTTTGTTAGGTGATATTGGCATCCTACAAAACAAAGGTGATGAGAAAGCTGAAGGAGAGAGTACACAGAGAACCCCAGTGAATGGGGACAGAGAGCATCGGAGAAGAATGGGCAGACTTTTAAGGAGAGCCTCGAAACAAAACAGAAGAGATAATAACCCGAAAATGTCTGAGTCTTTCAAGATGAAGGACAAATTTTTTATCTCCTCTGAGAGACCAGGGGAGTGTGGAGGAGAGTTACCAGCAGCCTCAATCAACCACAACCAAAATCATTTGTCTCCTCCAGCAGAGCAGCTGTCTCTCCAAGCCTGTGATGGCTTGATACCTTTGCATCTTCCCTCGGCCCTTCTGGGCAGGCAGTGGCCTTGCCCTTCCCTGGTGGCCAAGCAGACTCCTTCCTGTGTCTCTGAGGGGTTGGTCAAGGACAGAACTTGGAAGGAGAACTCAGTTCAGACTAAAAAGCTCAGGAACTTGTCTCATCTTGTGGGTAAAGGACCAAACTCCTTTGAAATGGAAGAGGTCAGTGTTACACAAACATGCTTCATCTCCCCAGGGAAATAACCCACAAGATGGGGTTATAACCCACAGCACCCACCTTATATAACCCACACCACAGCACCCCTTGCCTTCCAGTCCTCTGTTAGTCCTTCCAGCTCTCTCTCACTCAGCATTACTTACATCTTATTGCGCAAATCAGTTTGGTCCAGTGCATGTAAAATCCTATTAGTTGCTTCAGTGAGAAGTAAACAGGTCTGACACCAGCCTTTGGTTTCTCCTATTTCTTTTCTTTCTCTTGCTCACAGTTGAATCCATGAGTTATTTCTGACTTGCTTTTGCTCAGTGTTTTATTATGCACCTTCACTGTGCCTTTCCTCCACTCGCCACTTTTCCATGTTTCACCTTCTTTGAGGTTCAGTTCAACTACTTCTCACTCTGTGAAACTTGCCCTGATGACTCCTCCTCGGTATTCTCGTGGCTTTAGCCTGAAGAGTTTGTTCTGTTGGAGGTGGAGTGTTTGGCAATGCCTTCTTCCCCATAGACTCAGCTTCTTGGGAACTGGAGATGTGTGTTGGAAAGATTTACCCCTACAAAGCCTAAGGCAGCACCTGGGACAAAACAGCAAAGACTTGGGTTTGGTTATGGGTTTGGTACGGTTATGGTTATGGTTATGGTTTTAAGTACATCATTTGCTTTGGGATTTATTGATTTTCACATGGCTCATTTCACATACACTCTTTGATCCTTCATCCCCCTCTACCCTATTTTCACCCTCATTTAGATGACAGACCCAACTGTACTTCCCAGTCTTATTTTTTTCCAAAAATGCATATGCATTTCCACTCATTTCTCTATTCATATTGGCAACTGGGATTGGGAGTTAGCTTGTTGACAACTCTGTTATTTAATAAGATTACAAAAAAGTAATTGTAGATGACGAGCAAAGCCTTTTCTCTACTTTCATCTGAATTATTCAAAAGTAGGGCAGGATATTTATATGACAATCCTAACGTGGTGTCACTTCTCCCTTGAGTCCTCCACATGCTGTCAGCCCAGAGTTGGTAACAGAATCTACCCTTAAAGGAACTACAGAGAAGTGGCAGAGTTGGGCACAGAAGCGGTAACGATAGGGACAGAAACAGCCCTACAGATAGACTTTCATGTCACTATGCAGATATGTTTGGGAATATTTAGGGAACAAACAAAGGCATTCTTAATCAGCCCAGGCACTAAAAGAATCAAGAAATTTGTGGCAAACAAAGTTTAACCATAATTTTAAAATAAGATTTTGTCTGGTGAATATGCCTGTGGAAAGACATAAAACTGCCCTCAAAACACGTAGATGTTAATGATCCCAGTATCTAGGTGCAAATGTTTGTCTATTTACATGTATGCATATGCCTTATATAAAAAAAAATTGAAGAGCCTTAAAATAAAATGAATTGATAATAGTAGCATTAAAATAAGTACAAATTATAAAAGGAGGAAAGCCCCAGAATTTTGGTGAAGTACTTTGAGGATAAACCGACATAGCACTAAAAAGAACATTGTTATTTTTTAACTCAATTTTGCAAAGATTATTTAATTACCAAACTAATAATTAAATTACTCTAAAGAACATCAAGTTAATTTGCTACTCATTAGTCAGTCTGTTATATTAGCCAAGACCTAAGCAAGAAGTTTGACCAAATTCCAACTCATTGTCAAACCTCCTTAGACACTACTGCCCCTTAACTTTCCTCTGCTTCAAACTGGACTGACTCAGAGGAAAATAAAGTTCCTTGTGTCATCTATATGTGAGAGTATAGGGATAGACAAATAGCAAGTTCCACACAAAGAAATAAGAAAAGAATGTCACTCCTTGCTTGGTATACTTCCAAGTATTTTTTATTGATCATTATTATTATTTAGAGACAGGATCTCACTATATTGTCCAGGTTAGTCTCAAACTCCTGGACTCAAGTGATCTGCCCACCTCAGCAACACAAATAGCTGGGCTTATAGGCACAAGCCACCAAACCCAATTTCTGAAATTTTTTCAAAATGACAATTATTTAAGAAAAAATTATATATTTGGAGGAAGGAAAGAAATATTCAGACACATCAAAACAAAAAATAAAGATAAACTCACATGTTTCTCTGGCACATAGTAGGTACTAAATATTTGTTGAATTAGTAAATTAACATGAAAAGAATTTGATAATGTTAATTTAATCTAAGGTTGGCTTTCATAGAAAAACAATACTTTGTTGAGCTTCATAGCCAATTTGTTTATGGTGCTTCCTTAATATTTTATAGGATTTGGAAGGCAGGGATAGCCCTGAAAATGACATAAAAGAAACTCACTCCTTGAATTTCACTTTTATAGAAACTGTATCTAAAATAATTTTTTTTACTCAATACCAATAAATGAGTGAATGACGCTTGGGTAGATTGCATCTTAAACAAGAGCCAGTGCCAGGTTTAATATTTATTTTTCAATGGCAAATCTAAAAATCCAATTCTAAGAAATGAAAAATGTGTGAAATTGGCAGATTTTCATGGCATTTAAAACATTAGCCAATGTACTTAAATATCTAGCTATCAGAATTTCAAGTGTGATTGGCCAGATTTTGCCTCTAGATCAGACTATGGTGTTTGCCCCGGTCTCACCAAAGGCTCAATTTGGCAATATTTGGCTTACTTCTTAAAAGTATGATTCCAAATAAGTTTTGCATAGATTTTTAATGCAAGGATAAACATATTGTTGTGTTTAATTTTACTTAATAAAATTGAGCCAGCTCCATTCTTTTTAAATTCCCAAACACATCAAGTGAATTTAATACTTGAGAAAACTGTGCAATTATAAACTCAAAGTAGGATGCATCTTTATAGTATGTAAGGATTCTGCAGTCTGGAAGTCATGTATGAGAACATTAACCAAATTATTAAATAATACCAATAAGCCCCTTGGTTAGGCGAGTGATATTTCAAAAGTTTAAATATTTCTTTCTAAGAAAACTAATTAGTTTGGCTAAAGTAGACTACCCCAAGAATTCACCTGGCTTTCATTTTAAAATGTTAGGCCTTTTTACTTTTGTTCTTTTTTTGCAATTGAGAAGTATGTGCTTTACATTGTGCTAAGTGAATTTTTCTCCATAATAATGGTCACAGAAAAAGAATTTCCTTAGTACATTTGAAAATGGATGTGATGCACACTGGTTGGGGTTACCAAAGCAAATAAAAACAATACTAAGAAATATGTCTAATTTAATACAAGTGAAAAGTAAGTTCTTTGAAAAAAAGAGATGAAGGATTAAAAAGAGGGAATGAACATTTCTTCTCATTACATTGTTGAGCTAGATCCTTATGGTCCTCAGCTTCCTCCTGGGTTTATGTTTGTGTTCTTTGATTTGACTTTCAATATTAAGACATCAATTCCAAATAAATAACAGGGAATGTAGAAGTAGATGTATGTGTAAGGATAGTCCCTGTAGCATTATTTTTAATTGCAAAATTTAGAAAACATATCAACACTGAGAGAATTGTTAAGGAAACTAATGTATCTTTGAATTACAATCTATTATATAGTCACTGAAGATTATAGTATTTTAAAAGAAATTTTATAATGTGGGAAAAAAGCCCTCTCTCCAAATTTTTGAGTGAATAAATTTGACTGCATAACTTTATCCAAAATCAATGTATGAAAAGGGAAACTTGCAAATAAATACTCTAAAATATTAACAGTAATTGTTTTCTTACCTTCTTTAACTTTTTCTATGTATCATTTTTCTATAATAAGCTGTATTACTATTTTTAAAGTAATATTTATTATTTTGTTTCAACTCTGACCTTGTTCCCATTAATAGAGTGGTATTTAATAATTTCAAAAAAGAATTTTGAAAATAAATTTTGCCATATCAATTTGGAAATTAATTTTTTAAATCTGTCTAAGCACTACATTTTCTGAGTTGCTCTTCATAAATTTATTGAGACATAGTTCACTTGCTTTCTTCAAATGTATTTAGAGTTCTTTGTGGGCAAAAGAAAATCTAGGATGAAAATTATTATTATTATTAATTTTGGGGGGTGCTGGGGCTGGGTTTGAACCTGCCACCTCCAGCATATGGGGCCAGCACCCTACCCTTTTCAGCCACAGGCACTGTCCATGAAATTATTTTTAATTTACTTTTTTCCTTTTGGTTAGAGTCTTACTCTGTCACCCTGTGTAGAGTGCAATGGTGTCATAGCTCACAGCAACTTCAAACTCTTGAGCTCAAGTAATTCTCTTCATCAGCCTCCTGAGTAGCTGGTACTACAGGCATGCCCCACACCACCTGGCTAGTTTTTTTTCTTTTTTAGTACAGATGGGTCTCACTCTTGCTCAGGCTGGTCTTCTACTCCTGAGCTCAAAGAATCCAACTGCCTCAGCCTCCAGGGCTAGGATCATAGGTGTGAACCACCACTCAACCTTAATCCACATCTTCCAGAAGGAATCTTGAACCTCCCACTCAGGTGTGATCTTCCTTCTCCATGAATTCCTTGAATTCTTGAATCTTTACCATGGGCACCTTGTTTGCGCCACTTTTTCCTAGCAGATTTTAAGTTATTTGAGTTCAGGAAATAATGTTTGTCACTCTTATCAATTGCCAGTAGATATGCATCCTATGTTGATTAAAAGAAGTGAATTTATTATAAAAAAATTTCTAATGAGATTGATGCATTTGATATCGTAGGTCCAGAGCTTTGAAGAAGAAACTGGTAATCCTCTCTGTGTGACTTCAGGAACTGCAGGTAAGAATTCATCAGTTGTCTTTCAGAAAGAGAATGTAAATAATTGGTGCTTAACTTTATTAATATGTATGCAACTTGAGTTATCTCCAGGAGATGCCCTATATTTATGAATCATCTAGAATACTAAAAAGCCTACTAGCAATGCAAATGTACACATAAACTTTAAAATGTAAAAATGTTCAATATCTCTGTGGCTAATAGAGTATGTGGCATGTCTGACACTAACATTGTATGATCTGACTTACATAGTGGAAACAATTTCACACAGGACCAAGATGAAGTGGGAAACACTTTCTCATTCTTACAGCCAAACTGCTTGTTATCACACAGTCATATTGTTTTATAGGGTTTCATTTTTCCATCTGCAATAAAGAGACAAATGCAGGCAATTGTTTTTTTCTTGAGATAGAGTCTCATTCTATTGCCCTGGGCAGAGTACCATGATATCATAGCTCAAAGCAACAAACTCTTGGGCTCACGCAATCCTCTGGCCTTAGCCTCTGAGTAGCCGGTACTACTGGGGCCCACCACAGCACCCAGCTATTTTAATTTTTTTTTAAGAGACTGGATCTCCTTCTTGATCTTGCTCAGGTTGGTCTCAAATTCCTGAGCTCAAGGGATTCACCCGCCTCTGCCTCCCAGAGTGCTAAGATAACAGGTGTGAGCCACCATGCCCAGTCATAATGCAAATAATTTTTAAGTTTTCTTCCAGCATTTACACTCTAAAATTTGTATGATCTTGATGTTACACTCTCAGTGGAAAGAAGTAGCCTAGATGTCACTTTACAAATCATCTCCTACAGTGATGCTGTATCATCCTAGACAACAGAGAAGGTAGTCTTTCTCTACTTCTGGTTTTTATTCTCCCATTCAGCCATCATTGTGATTCATTCAGCATTCCATGATCCTATAAGGGAGCTGGCAGTAGGCAGGATTAGTCCAGCAAAACAGAGCAGATGAAGCTGGTGCATTTCCTGGAAAAAAATATGCAAATTTTTAATTTAATTTAGTGTGGTGTCAAACACATCTTTTTCATTACAAAGTATATGTACAGTCCTCAATTTGCTAAATGCTGTTTAGAAATCATGCATTAGTAATTATAGGGTCCTGCTGATTACATAAATTGTTATCCTGCTCTTCAAAGTAATTACCACACAACCTACACTGAGGTTTATAAGGCAAAAATAAGCATCTGTTTTCCATCTAATTGAATGCTTCTCAATGAAATTGAAGGTCCCCTTGCCAATAGGAACTGCCTTCCTTGACATTCTATTGAGAGGTCTATTGATATCATGCAAATCACCCCAATTATGCTAAAACATTACTTGGGAAGTTAGGCAAAAATGGAGAAAATCTGAATTATAGTACAGCATATGTAGTTTTTCTACTTTCAAAAATAGTGTTGTTAACCTAAGAAAAAATAGGACTGAGAATAAATAAGTAAAACTAGCTCAATAAATAGCAAAAGAGGACTTATTATATATATATGGAATCCCTTTGAAATACATATATGTGAATTTTTTACTCAAAGTTCAAAGATGATTTCATTTGAAACATGAAGCACATGGACTATTGTAACCAAAATGTTATGTCAGTAGCAATGTTGTGTAGCAGGAATAGCCCTTAACTCACCTGGCTACACTCTGGCTCTTGAGATAGCTCTTCTTGGAATACTCCTTCTGGAAACCCACTACCCAGGTTGTGAGAAGTCCAAATTACATGGGGCTGCCACATGGAGGCACTCTGATAAGCTGAGTGAGCTTCCATGTGAATGAGCTATAGTTGATGTCCAGCCCAATAAAACTTTCAAATGGCTCTAGCCCAGATGTCATTTGACTGCAACTGTTTGAGAGAATCCAAGGGACAACCACACAGCTGAGCAAGTCAGCTAATGGAACTGTGAAAGATAATAAATTGCTGTTTGAAGTCCTACAAACACACACAGATAAAAGACATGTGATGAACTCTTCAAATGTTTTTAAAATTGAGTTAAAAACCAGTTTTAAGGCTGTTTTGTTTCTACTCATGGGCAGTACTTTGCATATTAGCAGAAAAAGTGTGTCTAAGTATTTCCTAATTGAATTTAAGAAAATTGACTTCTTATAGAAGATGGAGGCCTAAGTCACTGAAAAATAAATTATTGCTAAAATGACAAGGTAATATAAAGAAAAACAGGAAATATAAAAAAAGTGCTATTTAAAATGAAAAAGGGGGGAGCTTAGCATTAAGAAATTGGTATGGAGTATATCGTGGGTGAAGTTGCAGACAATTCTAGAAGAGCCCACCCAGGGAATAAGAAATGAGTCTACTACAGAACTATACTAATATGTTCAGGTAATAATTCCCAAAATAATCTCACTTAACTATCAAATTAGTTAAGATATGCCTTTCCTGTCACTTTGTAAAATGAGAAAACACAGCATAATTACCACAAGATTTAGCAGTTCAAAACCAGAAGTTATTCAGAAGAAATGCTCATCAATAAAAGAATGAGTACAAAGAAGTACTAGAAAGCCTTAGAAATGAATCTTCTCAATGAGATGAATGAGGACATTGCATCTGTGTAAGAGAATGATTTTCAATGAGTAAAGACTCTTTAAGATTCCTTTCAGGTAAAATATATAATGACTGATTCTGTTTCTGAATGGCTCGATAACTCCTAAGAAGCTGACCCTCCCACTCAGGACAAAGAATTTTTTTTCCTATTATATATTTTTATAAATTTCAGGTTAATGTGAGGGTACAAACAACCAAATCACAATATTTGAATTTATTAGGTAAAGTCCCTCTAAAGTCTTATCCTCCAAAGGTGTCCCATACATCCCTACATTGTGCCTATTCAGTGAGGGTACCCCAGACCACCACCACAATCCCCCACCAAGGAAAATTATTTTAAAAACTACAAAAGACACTGGAGAATAACCAAAAGTAAGCAGACAGTGAAAGGGGCTTTTCTTAGAAGAAAGGAATGATACAAGGTAAATGTCCTGGTTTTTAAAAGACACTTAGCCTGAGGGTAGGCTCCAGTTGGCACAATTCTAAAACTCTAATAGAAAGTAGTAGTCTTACTAGAAACAAAAAGTTTGGAGCAATGACAACAGCTAGAAAATGAGGGGGATAAAGAAAATCTCAGAAAGGAGAGAGCCAGACAGGAAAGTTGCCAAATTCGAGGTATAAAATCTGCCTAAATCTGTAGTCAATTATTGAACTAAAGATGCGTGGAAAATATTTTGAAATATCAGTTAAGGCTAGAAGAAGTAAACAGAGGTTCATCTGAGTTTGATTCCATACAGTTTTCCCGCTTCCTTAAACAACATATCATTCACAATGTCTAGTCACAATAAAATTTTACCAGATATATGAAAAAAATAAGAAAATATAATCCACTATCAAAAGAAAAGGCAATTAATAAAGATAAACCATGAGAAAAATCAAATATAGGAATCAGCAGATAAATACTTTAGAGAGATTATTATACTCATGCTGAAGAATGTAAAGGAAAATATGCTCACAATGAATGAAAAGATAGAAAATATGAAAGCAAAATAGAATTATAATAAAGAATGAAATGGAGATTCTATAAATAAAAACTATAATTTCTAAAATTCAAAATTTATTGAATGTGCTTAACATCAGATTGGAAATGATAAAAGAAATATTTGGCAAATTTTAATATATAGAAATTATCCAACAATCTGAAGATCAGGAAATATATTTTAAAATTATCTGAGCTTTAGGAAACTATGAGACAGTATCAAAAGTTAAATATACATGTAGTTGCAATTCAGAAAGAAAATTACAAAGAGAATTAGGCAGCAAAAAATTTATTTGAAAAATAATTATTATTATAATTAATATATATACATATATACATTAATTAATATAATACATATAATTAATATATAATATATAATTAATTTCTATTAATAATAATAGAAAATTTTCTTAATTTGCTCAAAGATTTACATTTATAGATTCAAGAAGCCCAAGCAAACTCTAAGAGAATAAATCCACAGAAAAGTATGCCGAAACAATGTTATGAATAAATTGATAGAAAGCAAAGATAGAAACAATGTTCAAAGTAGGTACAGAAAAATGACATATTGAATACAAGGGAATAAAGATTTGAATGATAGAGGACTTCTCATTAGAAACAATGGAGATCGAAAGGGCTAGAGCCAGAATCCTATGTGTAGCAAACATATCCATTAATAATGAAGATAAAGACATTTCAGATAAAACAAACTAAGATAACTCATTACCAGCACACATGTCCTATAAGCAATCTTACAGGAAGTTCCTCAGACCAAAGATGGACAGTGTACTATGGTGTTTAATACCATATGTCACACATATGACAGTTTATAGTATAGAAGATGGGAGGTTGGTACATGGACTAATATGGCCACAAGATTTCTACATTTTATGTGAACTGGCACAGTATTAAATTTCAGCATCCTGAAAAATTAAGCAGATAAGGCAGCTATGAAAACTGCTAAAATGCTACTAAAAATTAAAACACAATTCAAAATGTACAATGAAACCAATAAGAGATAAACTGAATAGTGCAGAAAAAAATGATTGAAAAGTAGGAGATATGTGAGAAATTATTCAGGAACTAAAGAAAAAAGTAAAAAGGAAAATAATAAACAAAAAGTCAAGAAAGACATATCCAAGAAATATTACATAGATGCAACATGTGATTGGAGTTGGATTTCTCCTGTCCAAAGTTCTATTGTGTGTATAAAAAGGGGACAAGGCGCAAAAGAGAGAAAAGAGGTTTCCTTGGAGAACGTTCAACCCTAAGCAGTACTAGGCCTGCAAGGAGACCACTCACAGAGCAAATACATCTTATTTAGCAAATACAGACACAGTATGACAGTAAGTGTTTCACATACTTTACTTCATGTAATCCTTAAACCTTTGAGGTAGGCACTATTAATATTCCTTACTTATTAGATGAGAAAACTGAAACCCAGATAGGCTAAACAAGGTGCCCC